TATGGTGCATTCACTCTTCTATCGCAAAATCAAGCTCTGAATTCCGACAACATCCGGGGGCGAGAGGAAGCACTACATACTTGAGATGTACACCTAAATAAACAGTGTGGGTTTAAAATTGCTTATAAGTTAAGCATGCTAGCCCTTACATCGTACGCCAAGGACCCCATTCGATATATTGGTGCACAGGCCTTCAACACATTTATCAATAATGCGGAGATCGTTGCACATTCGACTATCTGTTGCATAAAGCAGTTGTAATGTGCGCAATAACGCTATGAAATTTCCTTTCACATGTCGCAATGAAATCTCGCCAGATGAAGTGTTACATAAATAATTTATCTATTACTACTTGTAATATATCAAGGCGATTGAAATGAGCCAAAAACATAAAGACACAATAGTTCTAGGTGTAGAAAATCTTTTGTTAAACACACGATGCTGCATAATCTGAAGTTGCGAATCTCGTTAAATTAAATGTTGTCAGGTAGTAGTGGAAAAACAATCAGGCACACGCTGTCCCTTGAAGCAGGCATTGTTTGAAGTACAGTTTACGGAACTATGTTGAGTACCTTATAAAATCAGACACATGCAATGAGACGCCAGCAAATGAGAGGCTAACACTAAATTACAAAAAGTTCTACAAAAGCCGCTCCTTCAGCTTACACTGTGCTGTCGGTCCCGAGCATCTGGTGCTATTTTCTCAATGGAACTATACTTAGCTCCATACGCACATCGACGCAAAGAATAAGCTCTACGAAGAAATAAGAAAGCGAAAGAGCTTCCGCAAAGGATAACCGAACAGTACAATCTCGGAGCGTTTACTATGTAGTTAACAAGCACATTCCTTTCCTGCCCCTTGACTAATGTATTGAGCACATTATTTATTATTACTATTTATTTGCAGTTACTGCAATCACCATTTGGGGATTTTAGCAGGGTGGTACATATACTTAGTCGCTGACAAAAACATGACGGTAAAAGTGATGAATAAAAGTAAGCAGAGCTACAGTCAGAACTAAAACCACTTTGGTAGCTTCTGTAAGAGTCGAGTAAGATGTTTTTAGGTGTAGTTCACCCTTCAGCTCCACCTATTTATTGGGCACTAGAAGTAATTGCGTAATCTACGCGAAACTGCGTGCGCATGATGCGTTCAAGTATACAAAAGTATTTCAGGACATATCTTTGCACCATTAAAATCATTTAAATTGTATGGGTTCTGTCATGTTTTTTCGGTACGTTGTTGCAAAAATGTAGTTTTTATAATAAAAACTTTGCTGGCAATGCGAAAATTACCTATGTCCAGTACACTCACACCAAGATGCAATTGGTGCACATCGGGCTCAATTTATAAGGAAAAAAAGAAAACAAGAGGTGGCTTGACGTGACACTCTTCAAGCCCAGTCATAAAAATAAAACTGGGGCATGCTGGGAATATATCAACAGCATGAAGCATGAAGAGGATCAGCGAAGAGGATCAACTTTTTCTCTGGACAAAACAAACCCCGCTTGTGTTATATAAAACTAATAACCTAACAGGGCCAAAAGCAGCGCTCTATCTAAGAGAATAGCAGAATATGTGTACCTATTTGTTCAACAAATTAATCCCAGTGTCCAAGTTCGTTTGAAGCGATGGCTGGACAGGTGATTCAGCCATGCGTGAACGTTGCTCTTCTCCACCATACCGTGACAGTACGACGCCTTCCAGACGAGCCTGCGCCTGACGTGAACGTTGATTGCCGCGTCCTCCGGTACCTTCCGCGGGAGGTTGAGGACCACCTATATGCATGTCGGTCGGAACGTTGATCACCTGTGCATTGATACCGTACTGGCCGTTGCCACGCGTCAGCCGGTACGTGAACGGCAGACGCGGAGGGATGAGACGTTCCTCCACTTGGTTCAGCTCGGGAAATTCCGGTGAGCGAGGCGGGTACCGGTACCCGCTTAACGCTCATCGTCGGAAATTTTCTCGACCTCTGGGGCTCGTTGTACGCGGCGCATACCGCGAACTCCGACGCGTTGACGTCCGCGCCGAACTCGCCTCGGATAACTTACGATGTTGCTTCCAGCTGCTTGCGGTTGTGGGCGGAACAGACATTGGAAAGGTGGTTGTCAAACCACAGACAGGCTATAACAATTGACAAGGCGATGGCACAGGGCCTGATTAGACCATCGCGTTCTACTCTTGAAGCCGAAGCTCAGGCGCCCTTGTAAGTTGTTTGTTTATTTTGATATTTTACTCAAAGTCAAGCACCTGTTCCTTACGGTGGTGTAGCATATTTAGGCACAGCAAAACCGTTTAGGTGCTGACAGGGTAAAACAGGATCCGTCACGCCTCAGAGCTACTGTAAAGAGTGCAAAGCATCGTCACTGCCATTCTTGGTTACGCGCCTTTTCTGGTATCTCTTCATTCGGTGAGAGTGGCGTTTTTAGGGGCGAAGCTCCTTATGGCCTAGGGCAGAGGAGGCGCTGCTATAGGGCAATCCCTCGTCCCTCCGGCGTACCTAATAGCGTCTCACTTATCACACAATAGATGGCGTTGTGTGTTTGTCCTTGGAAATATAATCATTAGATGACGTTAGTAGTTTTCGTATAGCTAAGGATTTTGTTTAGTTAACAGACAGACAGACAGACGCTTTGCCTCACTCATCACCATTCACTCCTTGGGTATGCTGCGATTTTTAAATTGTTTCAGTATACACTCTAAGCGCAAGTTCGGTGGTGACCTTGCGCATAGAGTGTCCGCTGTAATACTATTGTTGTGTTTATCGCAGCAACTGCGTTGTAAATGAAACTCTGGTAAACCAAAGATGACCACCCATGCCCCACACTTACGGAAGTTCATCAATCATGTTTCTTAACGCTTGCCTCTAAGACTTAAACATGCAACAGAAATTATTACCTGCAGACTCCTTTGCATAAAACCATTTCCCACAAGTTGTGGGTTTTGCCGAATTCTTTTCTCTTGCACTGTGACTATTTCTTTTGCTGTCCCATTCCAAAAGTTCTGATATCTCTGTGCCATTTTAAGCCGCAGAGGGCACTTAACCTATTAAATGCTAAGCATTTCTTAGCGAACTTAGGCGACGTCGAGCGTATCTATCTATCTATCTATCTATCTATCTATCTATCTATCTATCTATCTATCTATCTATCTATCTATCTATCTATCTATCTATCTATCTATCTATCTATCTATCTATCTATCTATCTATCTATCTATCTATCTATCTATCTATCAATCTATCTATCTATCTATCTATCTATCTATCTATCTATCTATCCGTCCGTCCGTATGTCCGTCCGTATGTCCGTCTGTCTAGCCGCCTACGACTTTTAGCTCTGCTGGCCGTTTCGATAATGGTATCGATATCAAACTTGGTATGGCATAACATGACTGATGAAGAATATATTTGACTAGTCGTAACATGAAAATTATAACATGTTATGTCATGAATGTCATGATTTACATTTCATGGTCCTGCATCTCTTGCAGTGGTTTCGTTCACATGGCATGTTGCAAAACTGGTATGGTATCACATGATTGCATGGTCAGCACAAGCGTCAGACCTAACATGAAAATCATGACATGGCGTGTCATGTAACAACATGACTACATTCCACGCTAATGATGCGCTCGCGGCCGTTTCGCTAGCATCGCACATTCCAAATTTGGTGTTACGGTACGTGATTGGATGACAAGATATGATACTAGTGGAAACATGATAAACATGAGATGCGGGTCATGTAACAACATGAATACATGCTGCGCTCATGATGCGCTCCTGACCATTCCGCTAGCTTCACATAAGCAAAACTTGGTATTACGTGACGCCAAATGGATGACGAAGGTATGTGTGTGGTGCAGACATGATAATCATGAGATGCATGCCATGTGACAACATGACTACATGCCACAGTCAAGGCGCCAATACATTTCTACGTGACGCGGTGCGCGTGCTCGCCGGCGTTCATTCTGTCGCGTCACGCCGGCGTTGCCACGCCAGGCACCTGTTCTGCCATATACTCGCAGGCGCGCGCCACGCCGCGTCGCTTTGACGCATGCGCGTTTCAGCGTGTCCGGCGTCCCTCCGTCACGAAAGGAGGGAAACGCAGTGTTGTCTGGGTAACGCATCGGCGCGAAATGCAGCATGTCGCATTTCGCGCCAGTTGCCGTCGGGCCGCTCCAACGGACGCTGGTCACGCCTGGCGTCAGACTATTGTGTGCTCACGTTTTGCTAACGTCGCGTCACTGTGCCCAGCGTGCGCTTACGTCAACGCTACAATGGATTATATTGGGCCCTTCGTGATGCGCTGGTGGCCATTTTGCTAGTTCCTTATATACCGAATTTGGTGTTACGTGACGTCATTGGATGACGAAATATATGACTGGTGCAGACATGATGATCTTGACACGCGTGTCATGTGAGAACATGACAACATACCATGCCCATAGCGTGCTCGCGGCCGTTTCGCTAGCTCCACGTATACTAAATTTGGTGTCACTTGACGTGAATAGATGACGAAGGTAAACGACAATATCCAAACAAGATAATCATGACACGGAAGTAATGTACGGCACCATTTACCTCCATCTCGTAACGTTGTGCTGATTTTAAAGTGACATATCAACATATCTCATTCGTGCTTCGCATGTCATCAATTCCCACTGTACGTAGGATCTGCCTTTTTTTTTATGATGCTCTGCCCTGTGAATAAAGCGTCCTTTCTCATACTTCCACCTGCAGTTACTGCACCATCGCATTGGTTTCGGTCTAGTTGTACTGCAGGGGCGTAGTCAGGATTTCTTTTTTTTTCACAGGGGGGGGGGGGGGGACGAGAGCTCAACCGTACTTCACGCATTGTTGTGGATTTGTTTGCATGTGTGCACCTGAACATGAAAGTTAAAATTTTAATTAAATTTGACGCACTCCCTTTTCTACGCCCTGGCTACTCCAGTGTTTTACTTTAAAATACCATCAACATTGAAAAAATTAAGTGATTCCATGAGAAAACAGGTAGATGTGTTTATTGAACAACAAGAATGAACATCACAAACAATTCTACATTTGGAAATTAGCGCACTTTCTTCTTGCGACTGTGTGCCAAGACTTGCGAGAGACTAGAAGAAAGAAAGGGACAGAGACACACTGCAAATAAAGCTCTGAGCTTAATTCAATATGGTAAATAATGTTAAGAGTGGAAGAGAAGAGTTGGGGATAATTACATCGGTTTGGAAAGGCAGCGAATAGAAAATTAGGGGGGGGGGGGGGGGGGGGGGCTAGCATCACGAACAAGCTGGAACACCAACCTTGGCACGTTCCTGCAGGCATGGCTGACCGCGATGAAGGAATGACCGATGAACTTGCGGAAAACCGTGCTGCTCAGAATGTGTCCGCTGTCATTGACAGCTCCGACGTTGACTTGTACGCGGTAGGTGGAGTCGATTTTGAGGGTCACCTGTTAGATGTTTTTAGAAATGAGGCCAGGCATTGCTCAGAGTGTAGTTATGGGCCTTATGGCTATAGCCTATTGTGTGCAAGAGCGTAATTAGGTCAGCATTAGCTGTTTTAAATCCGGATAGCTAAACTGAATCAACTATAGCGTGTGCTGATAACTTTCGGGTGGTAAACTAAGATTCGATGGTTGCGTCTGATCTCGAGCCACGGTGTCTCGAGCACAGAAGTAGACAATGTAAACGTTGTAACTTCCCGAAAAAAAAAGGCAACCGTTTTCATTCCAACGGCGAAGCAATGACTTCGATTGCAACAAAGTGGACTGCTATTGAAGGGAGGTTTGCACGTAACTCATTTACGATCCGATCTGACGCAATCGTACAAAACGCTGGTTTAGGCGAATACGGTAGCTCCCAAGAGCGAAGTTGTTCTCGTGCTCTCTGTCGCGTGAATGCGAAGTAAGCGCCCAAAACGTACAAGGGTATGAGCCGTCTGCTGATCTCCGTCTACATGGCACGCGCCCTTTTGATCGAAGTGTGCAGTAGTATGCTGCCTGAGGGATGCAGCCCCGAGAAATATTCGCTGATGTTTTCTGCTCGTTTCTCCCCTTTACTTTCAGCGGATCAGAGTCGAGCAGTCCACACACCACAAGGACGTGTGTTCGGTCAAGCCTAATTTGTGGCATCGTGGGCATAGCCAAGGGAAGTATTAGGGGGGGGGGTTCAACCCCTACCCCCGGGACTTTTTTTTTCTATTTTGCTTGCGTATGCATATACACAAAGACACACGCACGAACGTACATGAATATGGTTGACCCCCTCCTACCGAAAAATTTATGGCCTCGCCTTTGTGTGTGTGGCACACTATGCGTGCTAACTTGCCAAGTTGTTCTTTTAGCTTGGGCGAATAGTAGTTTCACTTAGGCATATACAACTTTTCCGTAAAAAAATAATAAGGGAGATAAGGAAGCAACAAGAATTGAAGAGATTAAGGGTGTTATTGGTTCATGTGGACTGAGAATGCACTGAAGAGAGAAAGTACCGCATAACACTAACTCAGACATTCTGTTAAACATGGTTCATCTAAACTTTTTCGTGCGATACTTTCAAGCAGCACAAACTTAATGAAGTAGTGGCACTGAAAACTCACAGGTGGCCGCGGCTGCTGGCCGTATCCCTCGTCCGAAAAGAGCTTGACCTGGTCGAACGACACCACCTTGCCGTTCCACGAGGAACCGGGACGGGGCGATTCCGGGTGACTGTATTGTCCAGCTGCACGATGGTAAAGAAGAGGTCAGCGCCAGGGGGCCTTTTTCAGTTTCTAGGGATTTTGTTTGGATGGATGCTATGAGCGTCCTCTTTATAACGGGGCGGTGACATGTGTGCCACTAAGATCGCAAAAAAAAAAAAGAAAACTTTATCTTGGCCTAATGGCTCATCTACTTTCAATAAATCAAACTTATTATAGGAAAGCAAAATATAAAGATATGTTCCATCTCTAAGCCTCTTCAGGTAGAATGAAGATATGTTCCCACTATTTATGTCCTTTATATCTACTTTTCTGCCACCAATACTCTAACCGTCTCCTACTTGCTTCTATAGTGAACGTGTCCAGCTTTCCATGTTTATCCCTAAAACCAAAATTCTTATATAGACTTGCACCCTCCTGTATACCTGTGTGGATATCACCACATTTAATCAGAGCATGCTCCATCGTTTCTTTTTAGTTCCCCCACAACATGTGCATTGTTCTTTTTCTTTATTGAACCTCGCTTTATGACTACGTGTTCTAAGGAAACCCGATCTCACTTCGAACATTAAAGCACCTACCTATTAATTATCGTAAAACATCTTCCGCCTTATTTTGTTCTTGCCCTTTCGGTAGTTACTGAAAGCCGGCTTCTTTTCCATCGCTGTCATTCAACAAATCGTCTCCGCCTCTCTGACTATCCACTTAATGCTCCTTGTTGCCATATCGCCAACATTGCCAGTCGTATATTTACTGGTGAGCTTCCTAGTTCCTTTCTTCAATGTGTTCACGCTCTTACTGTTCAAATACCTGAACACTTTCCCTGCCCATCTACTCTCCTTCGTTTTCCTAAGCCTCTCTTCAATTCTCAATTTGCTCTGAGCTTCCCTTACTTCAAAGCCTGTCCATCCAGGTCCGAACAGTGCCTCCCGTGTAGATCACTTAAATCGAAAGGGGGGAAAGGGTCAATATCCTCCGAAGTTGTCCGCCATGCATCAGTAGACAATCTCGTAGGCTTGGTATTTTGACGATAATTTGCAAATGTCACCAATCAGCGACCTCTAAAAAACATGGCGCGTGGGACACCGCCACTAATGCGCATGCGCGGACTAGTCCCTGGAAAAGGCCCACTCATGCTCTTTCATGAAAATATGTCTATGGCTATACTAAAAAAGATTTCTCCGATATGTTGACAAAAATACAACACTTGTGCGGCTGGGTCGCGCAATCTGGAGGAGGCGATGCGAAACACCCACGGTGAAAGGGACCTGAGCACCCTTTCGTTGTGCGTGGTAGTTCCGTCGTTCACTTGTACAAAACGCTATATGCGGTACCGCTTTGCAATCGACTGAGTGACCGTCTCATTAACAAAAAAAAAACGTGCCCATACAGAGTGGCAGCGGCAACGGAAACGTATACTAGCTGGTATTCCATCATACTATAGAAGGGCTCTAATTTTTTTTTTACAACGGTTCTGTCCAGCTTTTCATTAAGCCGTGCAGAGTCACAAAAAATTATAATCATTATGAATGCCCTCTACCTTTATTACAATGTACCTTTATCGCATCTCGCGCCGCCTATCACCTGGAACTTTTTTGTTGGATGAGTTGCTGTACATTCGTAATTGATTTCAAGGCACGAAAAAAAAAACGCAATTTGAAGAGATGTGCCCTGTCCTGTGTCCCTTCATGTGAATGTACTTTTGCGTGCCTTAAAATAAATTGTGAGCTTTGTCGCTGTGCCTATTTTCTGGCGTAGAATGCTTAAGACCACGCCAATGAAGACCAAGCTAAGAGAGCATTGTCCATTAAAGTCACGTTTAATAAAACATTGACAATTAGGAGCTTACTAAGTAAGGGCACAATAATTTCCGGAGCCCTCCACTACAGCGTCTCTCATAGTCATGTGGTGATTTTGTGACGTTAAACACCACGTGCCAATCAATCAACGCACGAAAGTTTGACTTTGCTAATTAAGGTCTTGCTCATTAAATCATACTAATTGATATCATACGCACTGAAACCTTGGTTATGATGAACATTATAAGAACATACCCATTAAAACCTTGCTCTTTCTTTTTGTTCCTAAAGCCTCGCTTTTCAAGCTAAGCACCACTAACATTTTGCCAACACGCATGCACAGTGCAGCGTACCATTGGCGGTCGATAAATGCACTGCCTTCAAATACTGCAGCAGGGCTCTGCTGACGAGCTACAAGACCACGATCCCGACACATTTCAGTAAATGGTGTATCAAGCGTCCTCAACACACATAGGCAAATTGGCCCCATCACTGCAACAGCTGAACGAAGTGGTGAACGCTACACCTATGCCCATCTAAAGAGCATTGCCCCCTCGCTTCGACAAATCTTTGTTTGCAGTCGTAGGTGTAGCAATTGATGAAGGTTGTGTAAGCGACAATCAGAGGCCAGCGGATAATTCCAGTGGTGCTTGTCAGTTCCTTTTATCAGCTTCTTACGTAAGCTCCTGCTACCGAAAAGTTGCGGAATATCACTATTTGTGGAAGCCCCGTTGTTTGGTAGTACAAAAAATCCGAAATAATTTCAAATATTCATCAACAAAATTCGTCGCCACAAGCGTGCTGGGAGAGAAGGCACGGTGACGGACGTGTGACGTCAGATTGAAAGGTCTCGTAATGATAGATGGTGAAACTTGAATGATGAAACGTAATGCCAAAGATCAATCAAGGAATCAATAAATCAAACTAATGACTCATGTTTCACTAAGAACAAAAGACTGGGGAAAATGGTGATTGGGGAAAAAAAGCTGCATGATTACAGCTTGACCTAGCCCCAGTTACCCATCGGGCTTAGAACAAGGCACAAAACTCAAGTATAGGGCAACAAAAAAGAAAGTCCTTGGCGAAGTGGCAAGCCATCACACGTGCGTAAAAGAGTCGCTTATCATTTGCGTGTGAAGTATGGTGCGAATCTATTTGGGGGAGGGAGGGGGGTTACAAGAAGTGAATATTTTTATTATCTGCTGCGTAGAGCTCGGGGGGGCAGCTGCTGCGGCTCTTTTGTTTTTCTTTTTGCAGGGTGTATGACAGGTAAAATAGTTTTATGCGCTTATTTATATTTTGAAAATGAAAGAGCTGAGCACCATATGTCACATGCAATGAAAGTAATAAGGGTGTATTTGTGACTGCTTGCCGTATTCCCTGACCTTAATACTGTCTTGCGACGGGCTTGCATGGAAGATTTGTCACTTCTTTGACGAGGGACGTTTCCATTTCACGTGATAGAGCGGCCTAATTGCGCGCTCGCTTTGAGTGTTGCATGGCCCACGACTTTAACATTTGACGACGAATTTCACGAGTTACCTGCAATATTTCCACACACACACACACGCATACGCACGCGCACACACAAACGAAGAGCGGGAGGTGGTCAAGCAAACTTTCATGCCCTATAGCTTTTTCATAAAAGCAACTGCTTTTAAAGGAGCCTTGACAGCCAGTTTTCGATCATAATCTGTTATGTGGGTTAATCCTTGAGCATTCACAAATAAACTGGCGAAATTTTAGCGCACTGGGGCCGAGCACTTGACTAATATTTGAATAGTCTTTACAAACACGCGAGTAGCGTCATAGTTTATTTCTCTCTCCCTTTTACACCTCACCTCCATAGCCCTCCTCAAGTGCAACTTAGCCAACCGGACATAGCCTAGTTTACCTTCCCGCCCTTTCTGTATTTCGTACCGCTACCTCTCTCCATAACTTTGGCAGCGGTAATGCATTTCCGCCTCGACGTCGAGTTCATTTTCGAAGACGACCGATTTCCGACTATGATATCATAGCATAATTATAAAAAATCTGTCTCCTCGAAAAAAAAAAAATGCAGCACCTACATACCAGCGATGCGAACACTGAGGTAACAGCGGAGCTGATGGCCTTTTCTTCCTCCTTGCGGTCCCCCTTACCGTCACTGCCCAACCCTTGCTGTACATGGGTAATACGCTGTGCTTTACATTGTCCTTCCTTTCTGTCTTCACCTTCACACGACCCCTCCTCACCCCCGCTTCCCTTTCCGAAACCCTTGCTACACTATACATGAGTATGCTATATGCCTTACTGTCTCCTCTCCTGCTCACTTCCATCCTTCGAATAACGCGTTAGATGCTCCCACTTTCATTCTTTCTCACCCTCCGCTTCTTTTTCTCACCCCTTACTTTAACTCTCACATCACTCCTTATCCTCGATTTCCTTTGCGCTCCCTTTGATATACTATATCATACATGGTTATGCTACGTTATGAGCTGCTTGGCACATACCCAATTTCTGTGACACATATACCAGCCCAGTTTTATGCTGACAATTATTTTGTCTCTTTCTCTTCTATTTTCACTCACTCTCTCACATCTTTATACTCCCCCTTCCAATTCCCGCAGTGTAGGGTAGCAAACCGGGCATGTGCCTTGTTAACTTCCTTGCCTTCTCTCTTGTTGTTCTTGTCCTCCTCCATTCCAGAGTTGCCCCGCCGCGGTGGTCTAGTGGCTAAGGCACTCGGCTGCTGACCCGCAGGTCGTGGGTTCGAATCCCGGCTGCGGCGGCTGCATTTCCGATAAAGGCGGAAATGTTGTAGGCCCGTGTGCTCAGATTTGGGTGCACGATAAAGAACCCCAGGTGGTCGAAATTTCCGGAGCCCTCCACTACGGCGTCTCTCATGAGTAATATGGTGGTTTTGGGACGTTAAACCTCACATACCGTACCATTCCAGAGTTCCGCCAAGCTTAAAAGCTCCGCTCTGAAAGAAAACATCCGGTATATAGAAACTCGCGCTCACCGCATCTACCAGTCTTTGACATCCGTGAAGGTGAGCCAGACTGTGTACTGCAGGTCATCCATCAGGTGGCTGAGCTGAATCGAAGGCGCCTGGCTGCATGAACCTGCAGGCGAAGTGGATCATCGGTGAACTCGGTCGACGTCACCACGCGATCGAGACGCGAGTGTCTTCGAGCCGCTGCGACCCACACGTCGAGCCAAGAGCCGCCGGAGCAGTAAAAGCCACATGACTTAGCCTACACGAAATAGATCTAGTTATAGTTCCAGCCTACTTGGCGTCTGTTAACTGTCCCTGATCGCCCCGACTACGGATACACCACGTGCGGTGGGGCATAAGCTCTGAGCCGAAGCTTCTCACGCAGGAACTCTCCAGAATTCACGTGGCACAACACTCAGGCCAACAGCGACAACCATGAAATGCAGCCGTGGTGGCTTCAAAATGACTTCTACACGTTACAGAAGATATGTAAACGTTCACATTTACTTTTGTTGAAATGTGACTGTTATACAGCGGTCAGTGGTCAGCCTCAGAAAGTAACTGCACAAGTACAGAGATATAATCTGTTATTTTCGCGTTATTTTTTTTCAAAATGTCATTGCCGCAACACAATAGCGCAAGTTCATTCAAACTGCAACGAACTATATTCTGCGGCTTTCATGTTGCAGGAAGGCTGGGGACTGGTGTGAAGGCTGAAAGGCTTAACGTGGCTTCTGAGCGATACGGAGGATTAGTGAAAACTAATGTTACATGCAACTCTAACATTGTGTCTACCAAACAAAAAAACGAGCCCATAAATTGCCCACTTTTTCCATCCTACAGGTTACACGTTGTTAACTTTCCACACGAGTTGTTTTTCAAATTTGTCACTGCTGTTTCGTCCGGGCTTTCTTTTTAAGAAGTCGGCTGCTACTGCGGACATTCTCTCACGGCATGCATGCGCTGGAGGGAAAGGCAGAATTGTAACGTAGGAACACCTTGCGCTCAAGCTTGTCGTTGCACAATGTTTCAGTTACTGTAATGCCTATGTCCTCTATGAAGCGTCGCGCTTCGCGGTTGCTGGCGCTCGGGTAAGGCGTTATAGGTAAGGCTAAGGAAAGGGTGATAACAAGATTATGCTGCAGAAACACTCCGTCTGGTAGAGTGCGTAGAATCCCAGGTCCCATTTTTTTCAGGACGAGAACCATATACAGGAAAAAAGTAGTAATTGATTACCAATAATTAATTATAAGGCAACATAAGTGAATCCCCCAGAACGGTGCAGTTTCAAAAAAAGTAAAACATTACTTGTAACCAGTTGCGTATGCGACTCTGATTCAAAAGCTCCAAGATGCGGCGTGGCGCTGTCATTATCCATATCTGCGTGTCTGAACGTGCACTCCATCAAGAGCGGGAACAAGCAATATGCGCGGAATGCAGCGACAGCACAAAAACATGAACGCGCCTCGACTTTCCAGTTCATTTGTGATGTCAACAACAAACACAACAGTGACGATGGTACGACATTACTCACAGTTGATGTGGTATAATTCATTGGTCGAAGGTTTCAGTTTTCGGGGTTGCATCCAAGTTGAGGGCTCCAATAGCGCTCTCCCAGCTCTAGGCGTGGCCCAGCAGCAGATGAGGATTCAGCCCCTTCAAAATATTTACCTGAAACCCGCCTACTCCCTCTAGTAGAGAGAACATGACATAAAGACAACGCGTAGTTTGCCGTTGCCAAATAAATTGTCCCGACTCTATATTTACAAGGTAGAATTGCGGTCGTACAGCCAGCGGGCAGCCCAAAATTATATAGTGGCCTGGACATGAGATCATGTCCGAAAACCAGTGGATGGACACTCTGGCTCTCAGAGTATCCAAGCAAAGACGCGACCATCATTTCAAAAAGCGAGTTGCAAGGGCCCGGGCATGATATGTCATTCTCGGATAAGAATGGTAGCGCAGATTCTGGTATCCTGTTCTTTTACTCTACCATTGTTATCCAGATACGCCAAATGAAGTCAGCGCATGTGCTAATTAGCGACCAATACGCATGCTTGCGCGGATCCGAGGAGCGAGAAGCAATGCGCCTAAGGTACGGTATGTGCGTTCGTTTCAAGCACTGATTTTGAGTGTCACGTCGGCGCATACTTCCAACAAACACGCACATACGCACCCCCAACATCATCATCCCAGCCGAGACTTCTAACTTCTAAGAGGCGTGAAGGAAACACTCGCCTGCCGTGGATGTTTATCTGCAGTTCCATGATGGGCCGGAATTCGTGACTGTTGACATGTATGATGCGGGGCAACCTGGTGGGCTTGATTACACTCCGCTTGAGATCGGGCTTAGCCTTGGGAGGAAACTTGGGCCAACCCGACCAGTCGTGCACCTTGTTCGGATGGTCACTGGGCATGACCTTCGGGCGTTCCAGGACCCGATGGACGTAGGTGCCCACCTCCGACCCGATCAAGCCATTGACTGCATCGGTGGCGGCTGGTGCCATAGCACCGGTCGGCGCACTCTCGTCGTCGTCAGACTCGGGATGTGACCGACACGTCATCGTCAACACTGTTTGCAGTATCACCGCTAGAGCTCTCGTCGATGCTACTGGTGCTGTTGTTGGTGCTACTACTATCGCTGTCGCTGCCATCATCGGTATTGCTGCTCGACGACTGCTTGCTATTGTTCATGCGAGTCCCATTGAAATCGAATGTACGGCCACCGTCCTCTTTGCTGAGTCTAGTTTCGAGCACAGAGTCATCGGAGCCCACAGCGCGACCCGACGCAGACGCCATGGATTCAGAAGGAGGCGTTAGTGATGAAGCGAACGAGTGCGCTTTCTGCAAGCTTCCAGTAACATCTAGCTGCTGCTTGCTGCTCAAGGAGTGTACGTATTTCGATTATCTGAAGTGTGGTTTTGGGAATGTGCAAGATAAACACCGATTGTGACGTCATCTACGACCTGTTCTTACGCAGTCTTGTGTTCAAGCTCTAGTATATATAGTCACGAATGAACAATGCATGGGACTGGCGCGTGACGCATCCGTTATTTATGCATATCGATGTACCAGTTATTACCTTTCACGTGACAGGCGTAAAATCACAACGCAATAATATGTTGTGCTGGTATACTTCCAAAAAAAAAAGCACCGGTCATCAGTTTTCTGTGCACTATTACAAGATAGGGATGCCGTACTTGGTCACGTATCTTATTTGATATTTACATTCGCTTCGATTCTGTCACTATTCTATTCCGTTTGAAAAACGAGGTTCAACAATGCAACCAAAGAAGATAGTTGTTCGTACTTCATACTTGCTTATTTGCTAGCACGATACTGCAGATATAAAAAAAACTACTGCTGATGGAAACATCTAGCAGGCAAGGGGTGCACAAATCATAGACCTATCTGCTTAATCCTCAAGGCTGGAAAGATTATGATGGCACGTTGATAGCAAGCATGATTTCAGCAGGAGTCGGCCTAGCGGGAGGCAGATTTGTAGCGTGTTGTTTCCTGAAGAGCTTCTTTAACTTCTCTGGCATTTCTGTCACACCCACCCGCAAAGAACTCTGTTAAATTTCACCATATAAAACCTCGACGTCCCGTTGGTGTAGGATCTTTCTGCAAACCAGCAGGATCTTTCTGCAAAGTCATTTCCATACATATTTTGGTGGTGAGCATGCATGGTCATCACTTGCGGTGCACTATAAAGTGTCCGTCATGCAAAAAGAAAGAGCTCGATTGATATGTGGGGTTTAACGTCCCAAAACCACCATATGATTATGAGAGACGCCGTAGTGGAGGGCTCCAGAAATTTCGACCACCTGGGGTTCTTTAACGTGCACCCAAATCTGAGCACACGGGCCTACAACATTTCCGCCTCCATCGGAAATGCAGCCGCCGCAGCCGGGATTCGAACCCGCGACCTGCGGGTCAGTAGCCGAGTACCTTAGCCACTAGACCACCGCGGCGGGGCAAAAAAAAAAGAAAGAGCTCGTTCAAATGCAAAGTGCTAGTACATTTTGTACTGTACTGTTCAGCTGCGATGACGTCGTAAGTAATGCCCCGTGGCGGTGGTCTAGTGGCTAAGATATACTTGGCTGCTGATCCGCAGGTCGAGGGATCGAATATCGGCTGCTACGTCTGCATTTTCGATGGAGGCGAAAATGCTTTAGGCCCGTGTGTTCAGATTTGGGTGCACGTTAAAGAACCCCAGGTGGTTGAAATTTCTCGATCCCTCCACGTACGGCGTCTCTCATAATCATATGGCGGTTTGGAGACGTTAAACCCCACATATCAATCAATCAACTTCGTCGGTAATATTCAGGGCCATGTTTTATAGCACTCTTGTTCTTACCGCTTCTACTTTCCTTGTTCCTACCAGATGTTTGGTGGCCCTACCTTTCAATGTTTGTCGTACTATAGTTTTTATCATTCGCTTTCTTTATTGTACGCAGCTGCGCTGTTTGTATATTTATTTTGCATTGTACGTGAAGCGAATCCCCCTTGAGCCAAAATGTTGGCTGGCAGTGTTTCAAGAAAATCAAATAAACAAACGTGAAGCCGATGATATTCTTTCTCACCAACGCCTTCCACCTATGGTCAGTAACAAGCATGGAGGACGATAACGTCGAGACAGCCTGGGAGATGAAACGAGCATGAACTCTGTACTGGGCGTTGAAGATCCAGCGTTGCTTTTTTAATCGTTACCTTTCTTTTTTTTTCTTTATCTCTCTCACGCTTGCCTTTTGTGTCAAGAAAAAAAAATGCGTTTGAATCGAAGGAAGGTATAAGAACAAAGCTGTTTCAATTGAATGGAATGGAGGAGGAGGAGAGAACTTTATTCAGAGTCCGGCGAGTAGATGGGGTGGGCGATTGGACCCACCTAGGTTACGGCCAGGAGTCCTTGAATCCTGGCGGCTTCCTCGGTCCGCTGGACGGCCCAAATTTGGTCTTCGAGGACGGAACTGAGCATTGCGGCTTCCCAGCGCGCGCGAAGGACTGTCAGCAGAGGCCGCATACTTGTTATGAGTACTAATCTCTCTACATTCCCATAACATATTCTCCAGAATGGCTCTGGAGTCGCAACGCTTGCACCTGTCCGTTTTGTGTATATCAGGATATATAAAGTGCGATAGTGCAGGATTCGGATATGTCCTAGTTTGTAACTGCTGCCATCCGACAGACTGTCTTTTTGTTAATTTGGGGTGAGGGGGCGGGAATATGCCCCTCTGTAATCTATAATGTTTTGTAATTTCATTGTATCTGGTCATTCTGTCTTCCCACTCCCACTCGTCTGCCACGCCGTAATCACCGGAGGAGGTTGGGGCGGCACTTGAGAGGGCAGCTCGGTCGGTGAGCCCTCGAGCTGCGTCATGTACAGCCCCGTTGTTGCTGTCCCCCGCGATGGCATGAGCAGGTGTCCATATAATATATGTATTTCTGGGGCTTGTTCGACACGCTCCTTTGAGAATACGTAGTGCCTCCGGGGAGATGCGGCCGTTGGCAAAGTTTCTCACTGCCGTTTAAGAGTCACTGACTATCACGGTTGCGTTTGTCTGAGCTACAGCGAGTGCTATGGCTACCTCTTCCGCTGTCTCGGTACTTGTGGTGCGTATCGTTGCGCATGTCGTACAGCGTTTGTTGCTATCAATTACGGCTGCGGTAAACCCCCGTTTGCGCTTGTATCGAGCAGCGTCTACGAAAACTGCGTCCTTGTCATTACCGAACTTTTTTGTATTTGTTTTGCTGTTGTCTCTCGTCTAGCTTTATTGTGTTCGGGGTGCATGTTTTTTGGCAAGGGTGGTATCATCATTGTTTCCCTGGTCTCTTTTGGCATGTCCACCTTAACGCCGTGTTGCGTGTGATACGTTATGACTAGTCGCTCTAGAATATGGCTTCCTGCTCGTGTCTTAGAGAGACGTTCATATTGCGCCGTACGCTGCGCCTCAATAAGCTCATCTATTGTATTGTGCAGGCCTAGCTGTAACAGTTTGTCGGTGCTTGTGATAATTGGTAGCCCTATAGCTAGTTTGAATATTTTTCGAATGAGGCAGTCTAGCTTGATCTTTTCCGCGACTTGCCATTTTAAGTATGGCACTACGTATACTATTCTGTTTATCACGAATGCCTGTATCAACCTTATCGTGTTTTCCTCCCTCATGCCACTGTGCTCAGTTGCTATCCTTTTTATGAGTCTCATTATTTGGGCTACAGTTGCATCCAGTCGCCTGAGGATTTATCCATTGTTGCCCTTGGCTTCGATGAGCAGACCCAGTACCCTGATCCTGTCGACTATGGGTATGGTTTTTCCATCGGCTGTTCTTAACTGTACTTCTCTATGAGCAAGACCTTGCAGGCAGTTGCCTGGTTTGCGACCTCTACGAGTAGGTCTGTTTTCCGCAGAGCAGGCTAGCCCAGTACCTTCCAGATACCGCTCGACCGTTTCGACTGCTGTTTGAAGCGTTTCCTCTATTTCGCCATCACTACCACTTCTCACCCATAGGGTGACGTCGTCTGGATATATAGTATGATTCAGTCCTTCGATTGCTTGAAGTTTGGTTGGCAGTCCAATTAGAGCCAGATTGAATAACATAGGTGATAATACCGAGCCTTGCGGCGTACCTGCACTGCCCATCTCAATTTCCTCTGAAACTAGGTCCCCTATCATGATCTTTGCCTTCCTTCCCGTCTGGAAATTGCGCACGTAATTGTACGTCCGTTGTCCCAGATCTAGATCGTTTACCCTTTTTAGCACCGTTGCATAGATTACATTATCAAAGGCCTTCTTGAGGTCTAACCCTAGAATGGCCTTTGCCACTGTTCCCGGATTATCTATAATCTGATGTTTTAACTGTAGCATTGCGTCTTGCGTTGAGAGGTTCCTCCTGAACCCTATCATTGTGGGTGGTAGCGCATCCCGGTCCTCGAGATAGGTAGTTATCCTCTCCAGAATCACGTGCTCCTTGAGTTTCCCCACGCAAGATGTGAGAGATATGGGTCTCAAGTCCGCAATCTGCACTCGCTTGCCTGGCTTGGGTATTAACACGATTTTTGCCGTCTTCTATTGTTGCGGAATCTGTCCTGCCTTCCATGATTTGTTAATGAATTCAGTTAACTTAGTTATGGACTCGTCATCCAAATTGCGTAGCGTTTTGTTAGTTATGCCATCTGGTCCAGGTGCTGATCTAGTATTGAGTTTTTGCAAGACGGGCCTCACTTCTGCCTCCCCGATCTCGTTGTCTAAATCATCATTTGCCAGCCCTGTGTAATCAGGGTGTGTAACGGGAAGCGCTTGAGAGATGTATGTTTTCTTGGTTTCATTCAGGAAATCCTGCTCTGTACCTTGATATCTTTGTATTAACCGATTAATATTGTGCCTTTCTGCCAACTTGTTTCCGTCCGGGTTTCACAAATGTCTAAGGATGGTCCACGTTTTCGCCATTCCTATCTGGTTATCCATGTCATTGCACTTTTCCTCCCACTGTTGTCTGCACAGCTGCTGGGCGTATTGCTCTATAACTCTGTTCAATTTAGCTATCTTTCTACGAAGTGTCCGGTTGTGCCTTTGGTTTTTCCACCTCCGTTGTAAACCTTCCTTAGCTTCCCACATGTGGAGAAGCTTATTGTCTACATACTCTAGCTGCGCCTCCGGTGGCACCGTTTGCGTAGCGGCCTCCACGTCTCGTTTTAACATTTCGGTCCATTCCTCAATACTCCGTATCATTTCGTCGGGCTCCTCTCTGATGTTTCGGAACTTGTCCCAATCGACAAGTTTAAGTTGTCTGCCTTTTGCCTTCCGCGGCCCTGCCCTCACCATTATTTCAAGTATAAAATGATTGCTTCCCAAATCATGTTGCGTATTGGTCCATTGCG